CCCTCTCAGGTGATCCTGTCTTTGGGCTGACACACTCCTCACTCTCTACAGCCTTTTCCCTCTCAGGTGATCCTGTCTTTGGGCTGACACACTCCTCACTCTCTACAGCCTTTTCCCTCTCAGGTGATCCTGTCTTTGGGCTGACACACTCCTCACTCTCTACAGCCTTTTCCCTCTCAGGTGATCCTGTCTTTGGGCTGACGCACTCCTCACTCTCTACAGCCTTTTCCCTCTCAGGTGATCCTGTCTTTGGGCTGACGCACTCCTCACTCTCTACAGCTGTTTCCCTCTCAGGTGATCCTGTCTTTGGGCTGACGCACTCCTCACTCTCTACAGCCTTTTCCCTCTCAGGTGATCCTGTCTTTGGGCTGACACACTCCTCACTCTCTACAGCCTTTTCCCTCTCAGGTGATCCTGTCTTTGGGCTGACACACTCCTCACTCTCTACAGCCTTTTCCCTCTCAGGTGATCCTGTCTTTGGGCTGACACACTCCTCACTCTCTACAGCCTTTTCCCTCTCAGGTGATCCTGTCTTTGGGCTGACACACTCCTCACTCTCTACAGCTGTTTCCCTCTCAGGTGATCCTGTCTTTGGGCTGACACACTCCTCACTCTCTACAGCTGTTTCCCTCTCAGGTGATCCTGTCTTTGGGCTGACACACTCCTCACTCTCTACAGCCTTTTCCCTCTCAGGTGATCCTGTCTTTGGGCTGACATACTCCTCACTCTCTACAGCCTTTTCCCTCTCAGGTGATCCTGTCTTTGGGCTGACACACTCCTCACTCTCTACAGCCTTTTCCCTCTCAGGTGATCCTGTCTTTGGGCTGACACACTCCTCACTCTCTACAGCCTTTTCCCTCTCAGGTGATCCTGTCTTTGGGCTGACACACTCCTCACTCTCTACAGCCTTTTCCCTCTCAGGTGATCCTGTCTTTGGGCTGACACACTCCTCACTCTCTACAGCTGTTTCCCTCTCAGGTGATCCTGTCTTTGGGCTGACACACTCCTCACTCTCTACAGCCTTTTCCCTCTCAGGTGATCCTGTCTTTGGGCTGACACACTCCTCACTCTCTACAGCCTTTTCCCTCTCAGATGATCCTGTCTTTGGGCTGACACACTCCTCACTCTCTACAGCCTTTTCCCTCTCAGGTGATCCTGTCTTTGGGCTGACACACTCCTCACTCTCTACAGCCTTTTCCCTCTCAGGTGATCCTGTCTTTGGGCTGACACACTCCTCACTCTCTACAGCCTTTTCCCTCTCAGGTGATCCTGTCTTTGGGCTGACACACTCCTCACTCTCTACAGTCTTTTCCCTCTCAGGTGATCCAGTCTTTGGGCTGACACACTCCTCACTCTCTACAGCCTTTTCCCTCTCAGATGATCCTGTCTTTGGGCCGACACACTCCTCACTCTCTACAGCCTTTTCCCTCTCAGGTGATCCTGTCTTTGGGCTGACGCACTCCTCACTCTCTACAGCCTTTTCCCTCTCAGATGATCCTGTCTTTGGGCTGACACACTCCTCACTCTCTACAGTCTTTTCCCTCTCAGGTGATCCTGTCTTTGGGCTGACACACTCCTCACTCTCTACAGCTGTTTCCCTCTCAGGTGATCCTGTCTTTGGGCTGACACACTCCTCACTCTCTACAGCCTTTTCCCTCTCAGGTGATCCTGTCTTTGGGCTGACACACTCCTCACTCTCTACAGCCTTTTCCCTCTCAGGTGATCCTGTCTTTGGGCTGACACACTCCTCACTCTCTACAGCCTTTTCCCTCTCAGGTGATCCTGTCTTTGGGCTGACACACTCCTCACTCTCTACAGCCTTTTCTCTCTCAGGTGATCCTGTCTTTGGGCTGACACACTCCTCACTCTCTACAGCCTTTTCCCTCTCAGGTGATCCTGTCTTTGGGCTGACACACTCCTCACTCTCTACAGCCTTTTCCCTCTCAGGTGATCCTGTCTTTGGGCTGACGCACTCCTCACTCTCTACAGCCTTTTCCCTCTCAGGTGATCCTGTCTTTGGGCTGACGCACTCCTCACTCTCTACAGCTGTTTCCCTCTCAGGTGATCCTGTCTTTGGGCTGACATACTCCTCACTCTCTACAGCCTTTTCCCTCTCAGGTGATCCTGTCTTTGGGCTGACACACTCCTCACTCTCTACAGCCTTTTCCCTCTCAGGTGATCCTGTCTTTGGGCTGACGCACTCCTCACTCTCTACAGCTGTTTCCCTCTCAGGTGATCCTGTCTTTGGGCTGACACACTCCTCACTCTCTACAGCCTTTTCCCTCTCAGGTGATCCTGTCTTTGGGCTGACACACTCCTCACTCTCTACAGCCTTTTCCCTCTCAGGTGATCCTGTCTTTGGGCTGACACACTCCTCACTCTCTACAGCTGTTTCCCTCTCAGGTGATCCTGTCTTTGGGCTGACACACTCCTCACTCTCTACAGCCTTTTCTCTCTCAGGTGATCCTGTCTTTGGGCTGACATACTCCTCACTCTCTACAGCCTTTTCCCTCTCAGGTGATCCTGTCTTTGGGCTGACGCACTCCTCACTCTCTACAGCCTTTTCCCTCTCAGGTGATCCTGTCTTTGGGCTGACACACTCCTCACTCTCTACAGCCTTTTCCCTCTCAGGTGATCCTGTCTTTGGGCTGACACACTCCTCACTCTCTACAGCCTTTTCCCTCTCAGGTGATCCTGTCTTTGGGCTGACGCACTCCTCACTCTCTACAGCTGTTTCCCTCTCAGGTGATCCTGTCTTTGGGCTGACACACTCCTCACTCTCTACAGCCTTTTCCCTCTCAGGTGATCCTGTCTTTGGGCTGACACACTCCTCACTCTCTACAGCCTTTTCCCTCTCAGGTGATCCTGTCTTTGGGCTGACACACTCCTCACTCTCTACAGCTGTTTCCCTCTCAGGTGATCCTGTCTTTGGGCTGACACACTCCTCACTCTCTACAGCCTTTTCTCTCTCAGGTGATCCTGTCTTTGGGCTGACATACTCCTCACTCTCTACAGCCTTTTCCCTCTCAGGTGATCCTGTCTTTGGGCTGACGCACTCCTCACTCTCTACAGCCTTTTCCCTCTCAGGTGATCCTGTCTTTGGGCTGACACACTCCTCACTCTCTACAGCCTTTTCCCTCTCAGGTGATCCTGTCTTTGGGCCGACACACTCTTCACTCTCTACAGCCTTTTCCCTCTCAGGTGATCCTGTCTTTGGGCTGACACACTCCTCACTCTCTACAGCCTTTTCCCTCTCAGGTGATCCTGTCTTTGGGCTGACACACTCCTCACTCTCTACAGCCTTTTCCCTCTCAGGTGATCCTGTCTTTGGGCCGACACACTCTTCACTCTCGACAGCCTTTTCCCTCTCAGGTGATCCTGTCTTTGGGCTGACACACTCCTCACTCTCTACAGCCTTTTCCCTCTCAGGTGATCCTGTCTTTGGGCCGACACACTCCTCACTCTCTACAGCCTTTTCCCTCTCAGGTGATCCTGTCTTTGGGCCGACATACTCCTCACTCTCTACAGCCTTTTCCCTCTCAGGTGATCCTGTCTTTGGGCCGACACACTCCTCACTCTCTACAGCCTTTTCCCTCTCAGGTGATCCTGTCTTTGGGCCGACACACTCTTCACTCTCTACAGCCTTTTCCCTCTCAGGTGATCCTGTCTTTGGGCTGACGCACTCTTCACTCTCTACAGCCTTTTCCCTCTCAGGTGATCCTGTCTTTGAGCTGACACACTCTTCACTCTCTACAGCCTTTTCCCTCTCAGGTGATCCTGTCTTTGGGCTGACGCACTCCTCACTCTCTACAGCCTTTTCCCTCTCAGGTGATCCTGTCTTTGGGCTGACACACTCTTCACTCTCTACAGCCTTTTCCCTCTCAGGTGATCCTGTCTTTGGGCTGACGCACTCTTCACTCTCTACAGCCTTTTCCCTCTCAGGTGATCCTGTCTTTGGGCTGACACACTCCTCACTCTCTACAGCCTTTTCCCTCTCAGGTGATCCTGTCTTTGGGCTGACACACTCCTCACTCTCTACAGCCTTTTCCCTCTCAGGTGGTGCAGTCTTTGGGCTGACACACTCCTCACTCTCTACAGCCTTTTCCCTCTCAGGTGATCCTGTCTTTGGGCTGACACACTCCTCACTCTCTACAGCCTTTTCCCTCTCAGGTGGTGCAGTCTTTGGGCTGCCTGAATTGGTCTGGCTCTCTCCCTGAATTGACCAGCTGGACTTGCCCTGAACCTGTCTGGGCTGGACATAGGGAAAGCATTTATCATTGGATGGGGAAATAACTCAAAACCACAGAATAATGTACAAGATAAAAGATGAGTTCATATTGAACTAAACGTTCGCGAGCGTAACAACACTAGTGGCTTTGCCATGTTTTCATTATGACACTTACTAGTGTTTTCCAATGCAAACAAGTCAGATCTTTGTGACAATACCTGAAAATGCTCAAGACAGCACTATACACAGCCATTTGAAAACTACAGTAAAAGTAACACATTTACACAGAAATTAAAGTTACACACAAATTATGAAATAGTTATCACCTCAGTAAACAATAAATGAATTGAAAGATTACAATAAATTCAATAGCAAATATTGCAAATTAAACTAATTATTTCCTATAGGTTTACTTGTATTTTGTGCAAAAATTCAAAGTATCTCATCTGTATTTACAATACAGCTTGATTCTGCATCTCTACTTACAGCTCGTTGGTCCATGTGAACGGTTACTGTTGCTATGGCAACAAGAGACGGCTGACGTTAGCAGCTCTTTGATAGCCTAGCTAAATCATCTGAACAATAATAACCCATAATATCACAATTCAGCATATTTAAACAAAATCAACCACAACTACCAACATTCACAGCCCTTCAACTCTGGGCTAATATGTTGTCACAAGTAGGACTATGCAGTTAATTAGGTCACATCACAATTTTTGGACATGTCTCAAAAATGTAGCCTAGCCAGCCCCAGGCTAACGTTACTTACCATGTATGCCTCCACTCGCTCGTCTCCCGGCGCAGCAGCACCTGCTGGGGTGGTGACCCCGGCACCAAATAGGTCCGTCAATTTAGAATATTTAGCAGCCTCCACCTCCAGAGACTTCATCTTTTTAAGTCGCAGTTTTTCAGCGCCACCCACGCGTTTCTTCCGCTTATCCATATTCAGCTCAGCAGCAGCCCGTCCCGCGACTGCCGCCCATGCCATGAGGTCCCGCCCCACCCTGGTTTGTTTTGTGATTGACAGCACTGTCAGGGCTCTCTGAGCCTGTCAGCCAATGATTGATTGACAATGACAAACAATAGACCAATAATATGTGTCGATGCTGGCAACAGCTAGCCCTCTGTAGCCAATTGGCCGGCCCAATTGGAGGGAATTTAGAGAAAAAAACAGACAGGACCGGCCCACATTGGGTCAACGGCCCACCGGGACGATGCCCGGTATGCCAGATGGTTAGTCCACCCCTGGTTATACTTAAAGACAGGACTATTCAGTTAAGAGAAGAGAAAAAAGGAAAGAACATGTTATAATGGGTGATGTAACATTAATGACAGACATAATATGAGGTCCTTGGCACTCAGACTTTAGATGAGTCATTTTGTGATCATGGGGCATCACCCTTACAGCATCAGGACAATACCATATGGAATCAGACACTGGAAGTGTGCTGGAGGCGTTGACTGGGACTGATGGAAGGATGAGGCTGATGAGACTGAAGAATCTAAGAGGAACGTACTAGCGGTGGAGGAATAATTATATATTAAAAGACAGCAGCATCATAAGAGGGAAACCATGTGACAGAGTGTTACTTTGCTGAAGGATAGTTGTGACCAGCTATCCAGGCCAGACTCTAAAGACTTTACAAGGTGTAAAAATGCTGCTGCCAGAGTACTGACTGGAAGTATTGCTGATATCATGATACCATCCTCTTAAAATACAACAATATCAGTCTCAGGAAGAAATGTTTTAACGCTTATTAAAAGAAAAACATGCATTCTTGTACTCAGGAGGGGACATTGACAGAGGATTACTGGAAAAGTACACAATAAGTGCTTCATAGTACTTGTGGGGGTAGTTTCAGTAGTACTGAGTCCAACAGGATCAATCTCACGAAGAATTAATGGCAATACAAATAATTCCCTCATCAAACTTAGCAGAAGTGGTTTGATGTTGTTCTCAGCAGGGGACTTTGACAGAGGATTTCTCAAAAAGTACACAGTAAAAGTACTTCAATGTATTGTAAGTAGTAGGCTAACTAATACAAAGTCAAACAGTATCAATTTCATTAAGAACTAATGGTAACATTTTATTTTTATCATTCATCAAAGATAGCAGAAAACATGCATTATGTACTATGGAGGGGACTCTGACAGAGGATTACTCACAAAGTACATTTTATTTCTGGTAGCAGTCAACTAGTACCGAGTCCAAGAGTGTCAGTTTTATTAAGAACTTGTGGTGTTAGGATCTGTCTGTGTTGGTGTTTTTCTTGTCTTTTTCTATCTTTGGGTTTCCTGTTTTATTTTGTAAAGTGTTCACCCCCGTTTCCTGCCTCTTTGCTTTCTGTCTGTTTCCCTCCCCGATTACCCGATTGTGTTCACCTGGTACCTCTGTGTTTTCTCCTCCCTCCTCACCTGTCTCGTGTTTATGTGATTAGTCCTGGGTGTATTTAAGTTCTGGGTTTTCTGTCTCTCTTTGTCGGGTTGTCTTATGACCAGTTCATCGGTGAGTGTGCCGTGCTGTCTTTGTGTAGCCTATATCTAGCCTTGAAATAAAGGAATTATTGTTACTCTAATCTGCATTTGGGTCCTGCTTCCTGCACACCGTAACAGCCACCGTAACATGTGGTAAAAAACATTTGTATCACTTCATCTCAATGAGTGATACAAATGTTTTTTGTTCTACTGAAACTACCCCCACAAGTACATTAACAGGTTTATGATATCACTGCCCCGTCTAAAACACGATCTGACTTTCATTACATTTGTCTCGAGTGTTTCATCAACTTAATGTGTTGCTTAAAATAATACTTCTGCATACAGTATGTGACACTGTGAGTGTTGCACTGCCAGATACGGCTCGAGAATCTGACACAGATTAATGAGGCGAGCAAACACAGCTGACAGCCGCGGTGAAACTCGAGCGATTATTCGCATCGCGTCCGGTGTGAATTATTACATTATTACAATTATTATATAATTACAAAATAAAACCGCCACGCTCAGTAGAGCCAATTTCCGAACAGGAAATGCACGCAAATACAATATTTTATATTATTATTTGGTACCACTTTATATTAAGGTACACAAGTTCACCATTAACTAGTTGTTAATTAACATGCATTAGCAGTATATTGGCTCTTTATTAGTCATTATAAAACACTTAATGCCTTATTCTGCATGACCATATTCTACAAGTAATAAGTTAGTTGAGTTTTTCCTCAATAACCCTCTAATTAGTGCTTATTTATTTCAAGTAAGGAAGTTGTTGTTCATGAGTTTTGGCACTACTAGCTTATTGGTTATAAACAAGACTTCACTTTAAAATAGGGAACATGTTCTTAGATATAAATACCTAATTTTGAGTTATTTAGACTTAATTAACACTTATAGTTTCATGTCTTGTTACATAAGAATAGATCATATTTGTTAAGTGTTATTATGGGAGAATTACTATTCTTGTGCTACTACTGCCTTATTACGCCCATATTGAGCAGAGCATATTAAGACCAAAACTCATGGACAACAACTTCCTTACTTGAAATAAATCAGCACTAATTAGAGGGTTATTGAGGAAAAACTCTCAACTAATGGCTTATTACTTGTAGAATATGGTCATGAATAAGAATAAGGCATTAATAAGTGTTTTGTAATGACTAATAAAGAGCCAATATACTGCTAATATGCATGTTAATGAACAACTACAGTAGTTGATGGTTAACTGGTGTACCTTAATATAAAGTTTTACCACAAACATTTATGTGGATCCTGAAATACAATTGTGAATCCTTCAGTGTGCATTTGTGTAATATGAGACTGATCTAAGCCCATACAAATATGGCATAAATCATCTCATCTCTTTTCTGAGATTAATGTATTTGTATGCATGGTCCTTGTTTAAATAAATACATAAAATAAGAGCCCTGGGGGACACCGTGGGTGACTGAAGCAGAGGGGTATTTGCAGTTGATGGAAATGAATTGTTAGAGAGATATGATTTAAGCCAGGAGAAGGCGTTGTCGGTAATGCCAATGGAGGACTGGAGGCGGGTGATGAGGATGGTTGATGGTGTCTAAGGCAGCGCTAAGGACACGGAGCATCAGCATGTGGTGGATGACCTTTAGTAGAGCGGTTACAGTGCAGTGGTGAGTGCGTGAACCAGATTGAAATTGTTCATGAAGGTAATTGCCGTCAAGGTGAGATTTTAGTTGACACTGTAGATCAGGGGTGTCCAAACTTTTTTCACCGAGGGCCACATATAGAAAAATATACGAAGGGCTGGGCCACTCACTAGAGGTGAGGTGCCTTATCAGTAAGGACAATCAATCAAATTTAGGAAAATTGCGATTGATACTTGAATATACTTCAAGAAAAAAACAGCCTCCATCACAGCTCTCCATCGGGGTTCATTCCTTAAAATAGAAGCCTCAGATTGCTTATAATAAGAGGAAATGTGAAGGGTCTATTTCAAGCTTCTTATCTAAATAAATAATTGGGCTTTTTCTCATCAACTTAGTTATGTTAGAAAATACTTGAATTATCTGAATTTATTTGAAAGTGGGATGACATGAATACTGTGTAATATATTTTTACATATATATTTAGGAAGTACAATACAAAACAAGCACAAGTTTAATTTGTGGGCCATATTTCATTATACTTTTTGAATTAGCTGAGGGCCGATTCAAAATGGCCTGTGGGCCGCATTTGGCCAACGGGCCGTAGTTTGGACTCCCCTGCTGTAAATAGACTGAAGCAGCACTTGGATAATTGAGTGATGTCCCTTTTTTAAGAAAGAGAACATTAGTATGATTGGGTGGACTTGGAAACAATTCTGGAATGACATCCCTACACCTTTCAGTCATACACAGTCCTGCAACAGCTGACTTTCCTTATCATTTAAACAACGTGGTTTTCCTGCAAATTAGCTTAGTCGAGAGTTGTATCTCTGAATATTCTGGCACAGTTAGTAGGTCAACCAAAACCAGAAAATATGTATTATTAGTAACAGGATTAAAATGATTGTGTAAAGCAACTTCTGTCCAAAGAACACAAACATGTGGCTGTATTATGACAGTTCAAAATGTGTATTCAACTGTCTTTTAAAACAACATTCAAAGACAAATATAAATGAATTATTTGAATAGAATATGGAACTGAAAACACGTACATTTCTTTCAACCATTATGACTTTTCCGAGTTTGAGGAGAAGAAGGTTCAGGGTACAGGAAGGATGAGGGCGTAAAACAAGCAAAAACAAGACAGAAACAAATAGAAGTGATATCGTTTCAGAGCAACACAGGTGATAAAGTCCCATGAGCAACAGGAAAGCTCTTCATTCATTCATTAACTAGTGACTCCACATCGTGGCACAGATACAATGTTGGTTGAATTTTCAAGTACAGTATAACTTTTGATCATTTGATGTGCAGATATTAAATATAGATAAGAATAATTGAAAATATTATAAAGACACCCTTTCAAGTCACCATTGCACTCAAACACAGCATCTTTCTAAGGACCATGTTAATGATATACTCAGCTCACTGGATAGGGTCCTAGCTCTTCAGATAAGAAATGTCCAAATTAAAAACCTCAGTCCAGTCTGAGCACAGCTGTGTGGATATATGGGAACCTTTTCAGCACACTAAAATGTCATTAAAGATGACGGACACACTAGCTAGGATGACATTAAAACGTAGGAATTGTCAACCTGTTTTGAAACTGGTTAAGTGTGGAGCTTTAATCTAAAGGAAATACTACTTTTAAAGAAAGGCTACAAAGACAAGATGTAGTAGAACATTTGAAATATTACAGATGTGACTTTGAATGTTAAGAACATTTGAACATGTGCTCTGAGAAAGCTATGAATTTGTTTGGTGTTTTTTTACAAAAACGATTTTAACGTCTCTAGAACAGATACA